ACCATAAAATAGGCGTCTTTCAGGTCCAGTTTGGCCAGCCAGTCGGACTCTTGTAGGAGGTCCCGAAGACAATGGATGCCTTCCATCTGGAAGTGTCGATACTGAAGGAAAGCGTTGAGGGGGCGAAGGTTGATGACAGGACGCACACCTCCTCCTTTCTTCGGGACCAAAAAGAGGTTGCTCGTAAACCCTGAGTGAGTGAACGAGACCTCTTGGATCGCACCTTTGGGAAAAGTTCCAGGATCTCCGAGGAGATCAGTTCTTCCTGGTCTTAAAGTGAGAGACAGTTTCCTTGGGATAGAAAGCTGGACAGGCATGGATACAAAGTCTATATGGTAACCCTTTACCATTTGGATAATCCAAGCATCTGTAAGTGCAGCCCACGCCTCGTAAAACTGTGCGTACGGGAAAAAAAGGGGTACTCACCATAAGGGTGTCTGCCCGAAGTCGCACCTCTCGGAGAGCGGGGGTTCCAGGGCCTCCCTCTGGATGGGAAGAAAGGAGCTGTTCTGGGCTCCTGCGAAGTTCTTGAGGGGAAGAAGGAGCCTATCTGGGCTCGAAACGAACCCCTGAATCCCCGGCCGGGTGGACGGCTCCTGTTGCGCCCGGCCCCTCCAAAAACTCTAGGGGAAAACACCCTCTTCATATTGGTTTGGGCTTTGTCAATGGTGGTGAAAGTGTTCACATATGACCCTAAGTCTTTGACAAAATTGTCGCCAAACAACATTCCCTCAGCCAGTGGCGGATCCGGGGGGGCAATTTCCCCCCCTGAGAAATCCGCCGGTCACAGATCTCCCTCCCCGGTCCACAGGCACCGTGCTGGCGGCAAGCGGGGTAGGGAGGGAGTGAGAGAGAGGACCCGGAGCTCAGGCTGCAGCTCCTCAGGGTCCTCCTCTCCCGAGATTTGGAGCGTTGCCGCGGTTACCACGGCAACGCTCCAAATCTCGAGAGAGTGAACTCTAGCCCTGGAGCGCGGGCTAGAGTTCACTCTCACCACCTGACCACCAATGAATTCCCCCACCGGACCACCATAATGATTATTTATATTAATTATTTAATTATTTAATTTATTAAATTTTTTTTTTTTTTTTTTTTAAAGCCCCCCTACCCTTATCACACACACACTCTACACACATACACTGATCCCCATACTGCCCCCCCATACACACATTGCCCCCATACACACACATTGCCCCCCATACTGTCCCCCCATACACCCATACTGCCCATAATACACACACATTGCCCCCCATACACACACATTGCCCCCATACACCCATACTGCCCCATACACACACACTGCCCCCATACACACACACTGCCCCCATACACACACACATTGCCCCCCCCATACACCCATACTGCCCCCATACACACACTCTACACACATACACTGATCCCCATACTGCCATCCATACACCCATACTGCCCCCCATACACACACATTGCCCCATACTGCCCCCATACACCCATACTGCCCCCCATACAGCCTCCCATACACCCATACTGCCCCCATATACACTGCCCCCAATACACACACTGCCCCCCCCATACACACACTGTCCCCCATACGCACACGCTGCCCTGCCTCCATACACACACTCTACACACATACACTGCCCCCATACACACACACTGCCCCCCATACACACATACACTACACGATCACACACTGCCGCCCCATACACACACATACACTGCAATACTCACACACACACTGCAACTGTTACACACACATACTGTCCCACACACACTGTTCCCCTCACACACACACACACTGCACCACTCACACACACCACTGCCCCATTTCCCAGCAGACCTCAGGTAAGTTGTCAAACTGTTCTTAAACGGTTTGACTACTTACTCTGGGAGGGGGTCCCGGCACTATTGACACCATAACCACTACACTGAGCTGTAGTTGTTATTGTGTCTGGATTATTTCTTTAAATAATCTACAAGTGCCCTTCCCGAGATCAGGCTCTGGATCCGCCACTGGCCTCAGCCGAGGGGCATGGTTCAGTTATGGCCATGGTAGCCAGTTTCGTATCAGTTTTGAGCAGGATAGCTTTCCTGCGTTCGGCGGACACTGCCATATTGGCATTGCCGAGCAGACAAATGGCACGTTGCACCCAGCCAATTGCCACATTTAGGTCAAGGTCTGACTCGCCCGATTTGGAATGATCTAGCATTTAGTAGGCCTTTGACAGTGGACCAAGAGTGTCCATTATTTTGTCCTGACAGCTCCTCAGAGAAAAATCGAGGCCTTTTTTCGGTTTCCAGACTGATTTATTGAGAAATTGTGCGATTTGCGGATCGACTTTGGGTGTCTTGCACGCCTATCCTGGCACTCAGGGTCTAGGGCATTCAGCCCGCAGTTTACTGCGACCCTCCTTGGAAAGTGGCGTGCGCATCCTGTGCACAATATAACGGGCGATATGCTCCAGGGGTTCCCACTCAGCTGAGCGAGGATGACATAGGTCATCTGGATCAAACAGGGGGTTGCCCTGCGGATCCAGAAGCGACGCACCATCGCTCGCTCCCTGGGGAGCAACACCCTGGACAGGAATAGCGCCCCCCATACGAGACGTTATGGCAGGGGGAGCTCCCTCCTCCGAGCCGGCCTCATCGTAAGAGGCATAGTGCCTCTCCTCGGATTCTTCATCCTCACTCCGGTTGCTCTCCGACCTTTCTTTACGGGATCTAGCCCGTTTCCATAATCTGGTCGTTTTTGCCCGACCAGGGGCTCTTTTGTGCGGTGGTAGTGCGCCATCTGTGACCGCCTAAGATGAGTCTGTCAAGGCAAGTATAACCTGCGTCATGGAGTGGGAGGAGAGGTGCTTGACCTTCGCCGTGGCCTTACGGGCTTCAGGCGAGGTAGAGGTAGGGGAAGGACCCGCTCCCTGTAGGGTAGGGGTAGCCACCTGGGTCAATAAGAGGGATTGCACCAGAGTTTGTGAAAATGAAGAGGACATTGCCCCCATAGCGGAGGCAAGTGCTCTCTGTAAAGAAGATGACATGGTGGAGTCCAGCAGGGCTTGGAACTCTTCAGATACAATTTGCCCCTCAGGGGCTCCCTGAGAAAACTCATAAACGTGGCCCTCAGGCCCATCACTCTTATCCTGCATTATTGCAGTTACTGAAGAAAAAATACGGGCAGTAAGACAATCTATCTGGAATAAAATAAAATGGAAAGATAAGTATATAGCAGAAAAAGGAAAATAGGGTTTAATAACCCACAAGGAACAGTGCAGTAGATGGTAGAAAAAAGTACAAGTGAAAAATACACATATAACTAATTATAACATGTATACAGAGCATAAGCATGAATCAATCCAAATAGCATAATATATATATATATATACATACACACACACATATACCTATGGAGTGGTGTGTCCAGGGAAGGTAAAACCAGTAAGGGGTCTGACGCCGTCCCAGCCGAGAACGAGGCTGGGAGGAGGTAAAATGGCCGCTGCACGTGCAGGGAGGTGAGACGGCCAGGGAACACCACTGGGTGATGGGGTGCGTGCGCAAGAGCCGCGCGGCCCGACCCTCACACAGTCGGGAGCAGCCGCCGAGCTAAGCGAAGGCTCACCGGCATGTACCTGTTCAGGAACGGGTGAGGGAACTCGACCCGACCACCCATGACCCGCGGGAGGGGAGGAGGGGTAGGATGGACGGCGGTAACGCCGTGTGCGGTGAAAAGGGGGACCCAGAGGAGCACACCACAGGGAACAAATACAAATGCCAGTAGCAAGGCTCCCAATAAGCCAGAGAAGCTATAAAAGGAACAAGCAATTGAAATAAAAGTAATCACAAATGTCCTAAATTACTACTAAACACAGAGCATGAAAAGTATGTACTTAACTGGTCTGAGAGCAGCAAAGAAAGAGAGGGATTGTGGGTGCATCAAGCATGTTATAGTCACTTCCTGTGTTATGTGATTGGTTGCTTGAGCACGGTGTGTTTTTTTTGTTCATTTCAGTTATTCATCTCTGTTCTTTGCTGCTGAGAGTAATAAAGAAAGAGATATGCATAATAGGAGCCTCCGTGTCTTTAATAAAATCAAAAGTTTCTATTTGGATTTGTGTTCTAATACATTTATAATTCTTAAATGGAAGACCTTTGGAACAACTAGTACTCTTCGTAGATCTGGCCACCCATCCAAACTGGACATTGGGGGGGGAGAAAGGCCTTAGTAATAGAGGTAACTAAGAACCTGATGGTCTTTCTTGGTGAGCTCCAAAATATCATATGCGGAAATACTTATGGAAAGACAACCAGAACTGCAACACTTCCTCCATCTGGCCTTTATGCACCTAAGGGACTAAACAAGATTATCTGGTCTGATGTGAAGATTTGACTGTTTAGCCTCAATTCAAAGCAGCATCTTGTCTAGAGGAAACCAGGCAGTGCTCATCATCTGCACAATACCATCCCCAATGTTGAAGCATGGTGATGCTTTGTGGTGTGTTTGCAGGGACTGTGAGACTGGTCAGGATAGAAGGAAAGCTGATCACAGGAAATTACTAAAAGAGTAATAAAAACTTGGTCCAGAGTGCTCAGCACCTCAGACTGGGCCAAAACCTCTAAGCACACAGTCAAGACAACGCAAGCGTGGTTCAGGGAAAAGACTATAAATGTCCTTGTTTGGTACAGTCAGAAACCAGACGTGAACATCTTTGGAGAGAACTGAAAATGTCTGTCCTAAGACGATCCCCATCCAACATGACAGCTTGACAGACTATGCAAAAGTGAATATTGAAAACTACCAAACTACTGCATCACACCCAAAAACACTTGAGGCTGTAACCATTTCCAAAGTTGCTTATACTAAGCATTGAGTTAAGTCTGAATACTTATGTCAATATAATATTTAAGGTTTTTGTTTTTTTCTGTTTAATATATATGCAACATTTTCAGAAAAAGTTTTCTTTAATGTTTATTATCGGGCACAGAGTATAGATTGATGTAAAAAAGTAAATAAATTAAATAGATAAATGTTATTTAATATTTTCTGAATACACTACATCAGGGGTAGGCAACATTTTAGTAGTACTGTGCCAAAACAAAATCCTTTGAAATCCTTTGGCGTGCCAGCCCAATTTATTAAAATTAAGGTGTGTATTTTGCCGTATTCTGCTTATGTTATTTATGGGTGCTGCAGTTGCTCTGTAGGCGGTTATATTGTATATGTTCATAAGTAGTTTGTCGTATTGTGTATGATACCTATGAATGTGGGCTGTATAAGGCAGCTGCTTGTGGAATTGTGTGTTTGGTGGAGTGTATGTGTTTGTGTGTGGGCTGTTTGGATCCCAGGGAAGACACCTACACTCCTAGATATACACATAGCTGCAGATACCTCCACTTACAAATAATATAGTGTGGACCGGGATGGCCAGATACAGGTCAAGGGCAGGAGCTGCGAAACCTGATGCAGGCTATTCTACTACAGTACAGATTCCCATTTACAAGGGCGGGGAGGAAGTGCTGCAATGTGTAAATTGAGAATTGTCCCCCATCACCTGCAATTACAGCTCAGTTTGTACCAGCGGATTTCTGAAGTTCCACTGGGACTCCTGATACCGCAGAGTCTGTTGGGCTCTGGCAGCCCTGGTTGCTGACCCTTGCACTATATGTTCTCTCAGTGTCCTCCTGGCAGCACCTCTTATACTGTTGCCCTGTGACTACCTGGCAGACAGGTGCAAGTCCGCAGCATGAAAAGACAGGCAGCAGTACATAGTACAGATAGACATCCACCTCTATTGCTTGACCACATGATTCTTAGGGAGGAAAAAAGTTAAAGCGGCACTGTCATGCCGAACTTTCCTTGTAGCTTCCTCTTCCTCTCTCAGAATCTGTTTTTCTTTTCTTCCTAGCCCGCTCCATTTCCTGTGGTCAAAGGAGTTATCTCTTGAGGAAGACACTGGCAGCTGTCCCTATAACGTTGGGGTTTTGTTTTGTACACATGTCCAGCCCTTTGAGGTAATATGCAAGTGATCTTATATGCCTGTATGATTTAAGTGCATGTTTTATAGGCTCTATCACTGGTTGTTATAGCCCTGTAATATTGTTTATTTGGATTTATTTTTGCTTGGTTTACTTTGTGTATATAATAAAGAGATTTGAGCTACCGGTATTAACTAAGGTGTGCATTTTTTAATACATAGTACTATGCTGTTTGGCATTAAGGGATGTCTCTTGAAGATAGCACCCGTATATGTTATATGAACAGCTTTTTTCAATTGAATTTGTTTAGCCAATAAAATTACCCACAATACTCACCTCTCCTCAGTGTTCTCGCGATGTGTCATTCACCATTTGAACATCCGGGCGCTGTCGAATTCACCAAATTTTGTCATAACAATGTGTACAGTTTTTATCTATTCGTGTTAGGACACAATTCAGTACTTTTTGTTTGGTTCGGAATTTCATTCAAATGAATTTGGCTCCCTAATTCCCACGGGGGACAATAGGTCCTCCCCCCTATTGTCACTCTATTGCCACTCATGGGAAGGGGCCGGGGAGGGAAAGACAGTAGGTCCCTCCCTTTGTCACATAGGGCCCCCTCCTGCCACTCATGGATGGGTGTGGAGAACAGTAGGTTCCCATTTTTTGTCACTTAGGGCCCCCATCTACCGCTCATGGGCGCAGGCTGGGGGAGACAATAGGTCCCCTCTCTTTATCACTTAGGGCCCCCTCCCGCCAATCATGGGTGTGGAACAATAGGTCAACCCCCCTTTTTGTCACTAGGTCCTCCACCCGCCACTCATGGGTGGGGGAGACAGACTTTCCCCCTTTGTGACTTAGGGCCCCCACCCACCGCTCATGGGTGAGGGTTGGCGGGAGGAGACAGTAGGTCCCCCCATTTTTGACACTCAAGGCCACTCAAGGGTGGGGGCCAGGGGGAAAACAGTAGGTCCCATCCCCCCCTTGTCACTTAGGGCTTCCATCTGCTGCTCATGGGTGTGTGAGGAACAGTAGGTCCACCCCTTTTTTTGTCACTTAGGGATCCCACCTGCCGTGCAACAGTAGGTCCCCCCCCTTGTCACTTTGGGGCCGGGGTTTAGTTGAATAGCCCCCACTCGCTGGCCATGGGTGGAGGCTTGGGGGGGATACACTCTTAATTATTTTAGTAGATGCCCCATCATGGGGGCATGGAGGACCTTTGCTAGGTACCCCTTAATTGGATTTGGGTCGTAGATGCTGCTCACTGTTTAATAGACATGCCGCTACTCACGGCATGGTGAGTAGGGGCATTCGGGAGATTTGTCTCTCTTATGCGAATATGATGTTTATTTGACCCCCATAGAATAAGGGGAGGGCATAGGTGGGGTTAGGGAGTGACAGGGAGCTGTTCTATTTTTACATATTACAAGGAGGGAGTCATGAGCAGGTCGCTCCCTCCTTGTAATAAACTGAACGAATGAATGAATACTGAAATTTGGTCTTTGTTCGTTCGAAATTTCTATTAATTTGTTTTTCTGACAAATAAATTAATAGCCGAAATTCCCACCCGAATTTCAGACAATAGCAAATGCCCAAGTGTTAAACTGGGCATGCATGGGAATTTCACAGCACTATCTAGTATGGGCAGTTGACGTGTCCCACAGGGCCTTCATCTGCCCACACAAAGATGGTGGCACCCAGGACCTGGGCACGAAATAAACTATGAAGAAAAAAAAAAGGTAAAATGGGGGGCTTGGGGCATTTAGGAGGACAATAGTGGAGTCGGGAAGGGGGGTTAAAAAAAACAAAACCTGATGCGGCCATGACAGTGCCTCTTTAAGTGACCAGAGCTGAACTGGAGACAGAAGATGTTGTCCTGACTAATATTTACCAAGTGACATGGACGAGAAAGGAAAAATCTGACCCACTAGACTTCCACAGCTTGCACTAGCACTGCCCAAACTGCCACATTTACGTAATATGAATACCGCACTCAAAAAATTGCAATGAAACTTATTGCTAATCCTGCATTCAATTTCAAAATATTTATTGTAAAGGTTTTAGATAAATTCATAAAGATAATAGTATTTCATCATGGTAACACTCATTTCATCCTATATACATAAACTATTTACATATATATACACACATATATATATATATATATATATACACATATATATATATATATATATATACACATACACACACAGAATCCTCCCTCGTTCATGATAAATTTCATAATCTATATATCTATATACAGTAGTTGCTTTGATATAAGATATTTAGTGACAATTGCATGGCATCGATGTATATAACACATTTTTCAGTAAGGAATAACAGGGAAATATAACAGTTTGGTTAGTCACATCTACATAGTGGAGTTGGTCCAGTCTTTTGTGATTTTTCGGCCATGTAATCTGTGTGATGGGTTGTAGTCTACTATGGGACTAGCTCATCATGGTAGAGTGTAAATGCTGGGCAGGTGTGGCGGTTCGAAGGCATTGCAGTGTCTTGTTTCTGCTGTATGACTATGTGGCTGGACATATGCTCTCAGAGGGGGCATTGTGGTTACATTGTTCTTCCACGTTCATGTCTAACATGCTGTGTGTATTATAAGTCTGGGACACATGTTTTGTGTTCGTGTCTGGCATAGCTGTATCTGTGTTGTCGTTGGAGGTGTCTTGCTCTGCCTCAGCAGTGAGGTTGAGGACCCCTTACCAAGGGGGTGGCGGGGGGGGCAGGAGACGCGTGTTTATGGGGACTAGTGGCCTGTCAGGGCTTCTACCGTGTTGTCCATTCCGTGTGGTAGTCAGGGTCGTAGGGCTTTATGTCTGAGTGTCCGTGAGTTAGTCGGCTCAGAAGAGAAAGAGAAAAAAAAACAAAAAAAAACAAACAAACATATAATAAACATGAAACATTAAGGTAATATCTGGGAGTTTCTCCTTTGTTGGGGTAATGCCTGTGTGTGGGATAATAATCGGACTTGGTCTGCTCTTGGGTTTTGCTACCCGGCAAGTGTTCGCGGAACCTGAGCCCCCAGTCGACTTGTTCCCGGGGTGTGAGGTGAGGCAGTCATGTGCTCCTTGTGCTCTCCGTGGCGTTTCGGAGCCTGGTTCGGCAGGTTGAGGGTTTTCAGGTAGTTGGAGGCTTCATCTGGCGAAGTGAGGACTTGTGTTGTAACTTCCAGGGAGCCCCCCACTCCCCACCTGTATGCTATACCTGCAGCACGTAGCTGTGTGGTGGCTGGGCCGTACGATTTACGCCATAGTAGCGTGGCCCTTGATAAGTCCTGGTAAAAGGTTAGCTCTGAGTCCTCAAAGGGTAGTGGTGTTCGGTCCTTGGGCGCCGCCATGATGTGGAGCTTATCCTGGACTGTGACACATCTTAGGATGACGCCTCTAGCCGCAGGGGATCTCAGGCGTGTGTAGGTCGGGAGCCTGTAGATTCCATCTATGGAGATTTTCTTTGCAGCTGCGTGAGGAAGTATACTGGACAGGAGGCGCCTGATGTAGTGAGGCAATTCCTCTGCTGTGATTGCGTTCGGAATCCCCCTAATTTATTTATTTATTTATTTTTAATTTTTTGATTTATCTTTATTTTATTGCGCAGAGAAAAAGGTGTTACAAGACAGATAAAACAGTAGCCACATCAGCTTAACAAATATCGTTGCAAAATTCACAGGCTTTAGTGTTTGCGCATTTTTTCCCTTTGTCCCATTTGTAACATTGTGTAACTTGACAGGGTAGTATTCTAGTGAATCCAGGTAAAGAGCATATTACCGACATTGGTCGGGGGGTATGGGTTCGGCTCGTAGGGTTGTACCTTTCGATGTGGTAGAGCCAGGACGGAGAGGAGGGGGGGTGGGATGAAGGTCGTGCAGGTAATATATGGGTCGGGTGAGGGTGGCATTTAGGTATCTCTAACGCTCTAGGTAGGTCAACCATGGCTGCCAGGTTAGAATGTATGTGTTGTAGTGGTTCGAGTATGAGGCGTTTAATTCTTCCATGGTCCGTATGAATTCCACCTTCTGTATCCACTCACGTACTGATGGGACCCCAGTGCTTTTCCACTTAAGTGGTATCAGCATGTTCGCTGCTGTCAGCATATGGTTTATGAGTTTGCGTAGGTGGCTTGGCATGTGGGTGGTGTGCATGAGGAATAAGAAGGTTTCGGGGGAGTGTGATACTTGGTAACCCGTGATAGATGTTATTAGGCTTCTTAGTCTCTGCCAATAGGTTTGAATAGGCGGGCATAGCCACCAAATGTGAGCCGTGGTTCCTTTGGTTTGCCCGCATCTCCAACATATATCAGGTACTGTTGGGAAGAGTGCATGGATCTTGGTAGGTGAGTAG